CCACATATCACGTCAATTTTCGAGAGTAACATTTTACAACGGAATAGCTCCAAGAATCGTCTAAAAGCATTTACAAACACAATAGTGTTTGTTTATATCCAAGGAGACTGAAATGACGTGACCTGCACTGAGGGTAGACGCCCATGAAAGTACACCTACTATTGCATCTCCCCAAGGACTGTACGTACACCCAGTACTGAACCTTCACATGGGCTGGACGGACACCCATTACTGAACCTCCTCTCGGTTTGGACCTCCACACGGACTGGACATATTACCTAGTACGGGACCTCCACACGGAGTTCATTGGTCATGATGAGATCTAGACGGTGAGTAATAATCCTTCAGTATTTTAGCACTTCATGGCAAGAAACAAGCACGACTTTGAAGGACAAATTTGGGAAATCCTCAGAGAAGCAATAGGCAGAAGATCTCTTAAATTATATCAACAATTTATGTGGATGAATGGTTCAAAGAACCGACATGTTGTTAAATTAGACACATGTGCAACTCTTGGGTATCTTTATTGAGGAAACGTTTCGCCACACAGTGGCTTCATCAGTCCATACGTAGGAGAAACTTGAAGAACAGGAGGAGAATGAGGTAATCAGTCCCTCAACCTTGATGGATGGACTCAATCGACTCAAGGTTGAGGGACTGATTACCTCATTCTCCTCCTGTTCTTCAAGTTTCTCCTACGTATGGACTGATGAAGCCACTGTGTGGCGAAACGTTTCCTCAATAAAGATACCCAAGAGTTGTACATGTGTCTAATTTAACAACAATTTATGTGTGTAAATGAACTTGAGGACCAAGTTTTTAAGGTCCTTTGTATGCTGCTAGAAGAGGCAGTGCGACACTTATCAAGTTAACGCTCTCATTGAGCGAAACGTTGTAATAGATTGTGTCTGTGGGACTACTGTGTCCCAAGCATAATTTATGGGCCAGGAGCCAAGCATTGTCTTTGATTTAAATAATGAAGACATTTCCCCATTTGTCAAAATTTCATTGTTATGATCCAATCGGTTTTAGGAATTTTCTTGATAAAAAAATATGAGAAAATTATCATGTTTTTCCTTCCATTGCAAATTTTTTCTAGTTAGTTTATTAGGCTTAAAGTCTACTGACTATAAGAAGCGCCAATAAGGCTGCATGTCACTTGTTAGCACCAATCAACAAGGATTAAAATGAATGTATTTACACAGAGTGTATGTATATAAGAGGATACATGGGAAATACAGATAACAGAGAACTGTAAACCCACACCGAGGCTGACTGCTGAGGAGAACTATTTACTTCTATCTAGATTAAGTGACTTTCGTGCATTATCTATGTGTGCAGTTCAAGGTCATATACACTTGTTTTACATGCCCTTGTGCTGCAATATTTCTAGTAGTGTTTACTATACCGGAGAGCTAATCAGTGTTTGCATGAGTTCATCCTATTTGCGTCCCTTTGATCCTGGTTCTCTAAATTCAGTCTGTCCCTGTCTGCTCTATCAATTCCCTCGTTAAATTTTGTATTTCATAATCATGTTTCCTCTTGTCCTTCTCTCCGTCAAGACGCCAAGTTCAAAACCTACAAAAGAAGAAGAAGCCACTTTCTGATAGTTCATTTCTGAGCGTAATAGTCGAAACCTAACTTTCAGAAACACTCAAAACTCTGTAAGAACCAGGGATACTGTCAGAAATATGGGCTTAATGGATCTATAACTCCAACAAGCCAACAGATTTGTATGTAAAACAATATAAGATTAATTTGGTTCTCAGTAAAGGCGAGTTAGCTTTGTGAAAACAGTGCATTTTTAGAGCATTTTGTCGTGTTTGACCTACTTAGCTGATTTGGTTAAAAGTTATTATTATTAAATATTATTATTATTGATCAATCAGTGTCTGGGGAGCGGGAGGTCATCAGGTCTGATTCGAGGAAAGAGAAGGCTTTTTATCCAAGGAATTGACTAGAAAGCTCTTCAGCAGTATCAAGACAGCCACCACGATGGGCAGAAAGACTACAAAGAAGAAACTGGGATACTGGATGAGGTAATGAGACAGGTGTGTGCACGAGTAGGAGTGATGAAGACAAGTGCACAACAACATTTCGCTCTGTGTAGAGCGTTTCGACATAAGTGTACACAGATCAAAACTGACAGGCTAAATGCTTGTTGCATCTGTGTCCTTTTCTCATTAACGTCAGCAGAGGGATGTACTCTGGGCTGTTCGCCGACATTTTCCTTTCCCCATTTATCCAGTCGTGTTACACAGGCATCTCAAGACTTCTGTTTAGTGAACACGAAATTAACTTTGTTTGCAGGGGCGTGTGTGGAGGACGAGGCTGTGTGCTGGTGCTGGTGGTGTGTGCAGGAGGAATCCTCCTGGTCCTTCCTAGTTGCTACCAGTTCTTCCTGCACACTCTGGCTCAACTGCATCAACTGATGTCCATCCTTCAACATCCTTCTGTCTGTCAATACCCGTCTTTTTTCTACAATGAAACAGAGATAAAAGGTGAGCGTTGATAAGCTAACGCTTTACACTAGACTTCTCCAGGTATGGAATGCTATTGGTAAGGAGGACTGCAGTTTTAAGTACGTTTGTGAGCGTATGTGTGTGTGTTTAACTACTTGACATTGCCTCCAGTTTACCTCTCACTTTCCAGGCATTAATTCAAGTGTAGTGTCTGCTGGGAGATGTCTGCCACAGCCTCGCTATCTGCCTCTGCCTCAAGACAACCAGCAAGGTGAGTCCAAGACTTGCTCACTTGTCTCACACTCCTTATTTGCCCTCGTGTAGTTGATATATTTTAAACGTAATCAAGCAAGCTACCAGGGAATGAGTTCATCTTAGTCTGTAAGTATATACAACTTTGGTTGTAGACAAATGAGACACTTGTGCAACACTTAAGAATCTTTATTGTGGAAACGTCTCGCCTGCTAGTGGTTTCATCAGTCCAATTCAGAGAAAAACGGTGAAAATTGAGGAGTTTGAAGTAATCAGTCCCTCAGCCCGGAGAAGATGTGTTCAGTCCATCAGCTTTGATAAAGGTTCAATATATGAAGGGAGGAGCTCATACACTGGAGACAGTACGTATGTCGTACTTTTATCAAGATTGATGCAGTGCTCCTCTTTCTTAGTATTTGACTGGCCCCTCCTACTCTGACTACCTCCTCACTACTACTTCCTTCCATCCACTACTACTGCTACTACCACCTCCTGCCTATATATACCCATCCTGCTTTCCTTTTTGTTAGTGTGACTTTGTAAATGGTCCAAGTCGGACCGAAACGTCGTCGTAAGCTCCTCTCTTCTATGTGCGGGTTATTTTTGTATTGTGCCTTTTTTTTGTTATTTGTTTTCAAGATTGATGGATTGAGCACATCATCTTCAGGCTGAGGGACGGATTAATTACCTCAAACTCCTCCTCCCCATCTTTCATCGTTCTTTACTGGACCGATGAAGCCATTACCGTACTAAAATCTTGCTTGTGTTGCTGTTTAAGTTTCTTGTATCGATCGCTCACATGTTGTTTGCAGCGATTTTCTCGATTTACGTTGTTTAGGCTAGGTTAGATTTAGTTAGGTAAGATTGTCGAGTATAAATAATAAAAAAATGCCAATTATAACATATCACAAAACCAGTAAACGAAAAATACAGGAGATAAAATTTTTGAAGCGTAAACAGTGACATAAACACATAAGAAAAAACTCGGATAATCACTATGGCTCAGTGAGCAGTCATCTGTTTGACTGTCTTAGTAACAGTCACATGCTGACTGCTGTTAATGTCGACTATATTACTGTTGCTGCTGTTTTTTTTGGCCGCATTAGTTACGGTGGTTGTTTTTTTGCTGCTAAATTATGAGCAGCGAAGATATTCTTTTTTTCATTCTATATGATTTAACCAGTAATTTAAATTTGTATTTGAACTGCACATTTTAAATGACTAGTATTTTTTTAAAACAATTGTTTTCAACATATATTAACTTATACCATTACTGTAAAATACATTAAGAATCAAGATTTTATAGATACATTTTTTGAATTATTATTTGAGAAATTACCTACATGAAGTTTACAGGGTATTACCTGAATTATTATGTGCAAGTAATTTGGGTGACATAAGTGAAACTTAGTCATAGTAGTCAACAGGACTGTAATTTCCTCGATGCCCACTTTATCACCACTCTCACAAAAAGCTTGACATAATATTAGATTAATAATTACAATATTAAACATTAATTCCAATATTAGTAAATTATAAAATACTGTGGACTGTATAATTAGGCTAACTGGGTACACAGAATGTAATTGTTATACATAAATTATAATGGTGTTATTAGAAAAGAAATTCGTATTACTACTAACCATTTAATTACTGTAGATGGATCACACCACAACACCTGCCTGACACATAGACCCTACACTGGCCAGCTAAAGATCTATGTGAAAGGACTAATGGTCCCTGTGTGAGTAATACTGTATTCTTTATCTTCCACCATCTATTTGTAATTCTTGAGGTTCCCAATTCTTCAGCAGGAGATACTAACTCAGGTTCGCATTACAAATTTAGGCCGAAACACCCCAATTTGGCCTTGAAGACGCCGGATTAGCTGAATTTTCTACGACAACTCGCAAGTTACAAATGGCGTCTTCCCCACTCCCCCAAACTTACTCATGTGGAATTTGGGAAAATTCAAAATTTTCCACACGTTTCAAAAGTGACTAATAAATGGTTATAATCATAACCATGATTATTAAAGAGGTGGAAGCCAGGGAAAGACCTCAGTCAGATGACCAAAAATACCAACTGTAGGTCATATGACTAAAACCCGTGTCAGGAAACATTTGTCCTGTTTCCTGATAAATATTATACCTACCTTCATAATTGATACAGAACTGTCTTTTCTTGTATTTTTTTTAAAGGAGGTACATATACAATATGAAGATTGATTAGTATTATTTTGACACTGGCTGTCAGATGAATGGTAACTCTCTCACTTTACTAAACACTATGTCACCTTCAGGTCGTTCATTTGATGTCCAAGTCTCGTATTCTCTCTTTTTCTCAGATGATCTCGAATAAACCGTAAAATCTAGTCCGTAAGTAAGTAATTTATTCAGGTATACGCAAATACAGTTACATAGAATTATCATACATAGCAGCATATGTGTAGAGAACCTAGGATAACCCAAAAAAGTAAGACAGAGTGACTTCCATTGGGTCCTTTTACCTTATTATTATAATATAAAGGTTATAATATTTTCTTATTATTCTATAATGAAGATAACATCTTATTGTCATACTAAAAAGGCTATCTACTACACGAGGGTCATTAAGACTATCTACAATACGAGTGTCGTTAAGACTATCTACTACACGAGGGTCATTAAGACTATCTACAATACGAGGGTCGTTAAGACTTTCTACAATACGAGAGTCATTACTAGGAATAAGGTAAAATTTACACGTATGTTAGCTAAAAAATAGAAAATCATTCCCCACCCTTTCTGTAGCTACATTCATCAAACACCTTTTGGCACTCTTCTTGAACTGGTTCATGCTATGACTGTCTTTGACATGTGCGGGCAGTCTGTTCCATTCCTTTATTGCTGTACAATAAAAGGTGTTTGAAGCCTGGCCAATGACTGTGGGTACTACAAAGTTGTGCTCTCTCCCCCTAGTACTATGACTGCTGCGGTTCCCAACCTTAACAAAATTGACAGCAAGATATTCTGGACATTGTTCGTGAGCAATTTTATAAACATGATTTAGCTTCAGTTGTTTTACTCTGTCTTCAACATTCAGCATATCCAACTGCTGTAATTCATCCTGGCCTACATGCTCTCTTGGTCCCAGCCCCAGGATGAATCTTACGATTTTGTTCTGGGTGATTTGCAGTCTATCTTTCAGGTTTTTTTGTCAAGGCAGAGTGCCATGAAGAGAAAGCGTAATCCATATGGCATTGTATAAGGGCTAGACATAGGGTCCTGCGAGCCTCAGTAGGTAGACACTGTGCCTGTTTAAATTAATGAACTACGTTAGTTAGCATGTGCTGGGAACTTTGATATCATTGCATTAACTGAAACTTGGTATGATTTAAAGAGTCGGGATATGATTGCTGAATGTAATATTCAAGGGTTTAAGTTGTTCCATGTGGATAGATGTAATGGGAAGGGGGAAGGAGTTGCATTATATGTTCGAGAAAATATTAATTGTTGCATAAAAACAGGTATAAAATAGATGGAACAGTAACAGAATCTGTTTGGGTAGAGTTTGTAGAGGGTCAAGAAAAACTAATTCTAGATGTAAGGACCTGCCTTGCATGGGCCAGTAGGCCTTCTGCAGTGTTCCTCCATTCTTATGTTCTTACACTGTTCCCTATCAATTCTCCTGACATGCATGGGTCAAAGGGGATTCCCAGATACTTTACTGATGAAACCAAAGTGATGGGCTCCCCATTACAATGGACATTAAAATTATTTACCCTTCTCAGTTTATGTTTCGTGCCAAAGAGAATGGCTTCAGTTGTCTACTAACCATTTGCTGCAGGACTCCAGTTCCAGTGTTAAAACATTAGCTATATCTTGTGGGTCCTTACCTGATACTACCAGAGCACTGTCATCAGCATACAGTAGGAGTTTGCACTTGACACTATAGGCATGTCATTGACATAACATAAGAATAATAAGGGACCCAGAATACTACCTTGGGGAACTCCACATGCTATCGGCAAGGGTTCTGATTCCGTTTTGTTGATTTTGACAATTTGTCTCCTGTTGCTAAGGTAGGACTTAAACCAGTCTACAGAACCTATACCGATAGCTTGAAGTTTCTTACTTAATATATTGTGGTTGACAGTATCGAAGGCCTTTTGCAGGTCTAAGGTTACCATACTTATGAGGTTCCCCTTTGACATTTCAGTTCTCAGGTAATCCATCAGATTAATTAGGGAGGTGTCGGTTGAGTAAGATCTTCTAAAGCCCGACTGATAGCTATGGAGAATGTTGTTGCCATTAAGGTACTTAACTACTTGGGAGTACACCGCCCTCTCTAGAATTTTGGATATTATACTGAGTATACTAACAGGCCTATAGTTGCTTACATCAGACCTACATTTTTCTTGAAGATAGAAGTAACTCTGGCCTCCTTGAACCCATCCGGTACGGTATTAGTGGTGATTGATAAATTTATTATGTGAGCAATAGGGATTGACAGTTCAGAAGCACCATCTTTTAGGAACTTAGACGGGATGTTATCCGGGCCAGTGCTCTTAGTTGGGTTTAACCTGCTTAGTTCTTTTTGAATAAAATCATGAGATACACTTACTAGTTGACAACTGTTTGGGATTACCCCTTTATTGGTATAGTATGTTTGAAACTTATCAGAATCTGTGTTAAAGGTATTTGATGCAGCTGGTAGTTTACTTACTAGTGTTGATGCAACAGATGTGTAGTAGGAATTAAAGCAATTTGCACCTTAGATGTTTCGTGGCATACCTCATTATCGATAGTGAGTACTATGTTAGACCTATCTACTGGTTTATGGCTATACCCCAACTGTTTTAGTTGTTGCCAGAGCTTTCTGGGGTTATGCTTATACTCTTCAATTTTTGAGCAATAGTGCTTTGCCTTTGCTCCTTTTATAAGTCTCTGCACTCTGTTCCTCACCCTTTGGAATTCATTTAGTGCTGCAATATCCTGTCTGTTTGCTTTAAATCTTTTTAGCAGCTGGTCTCTGAATTTCATATTAACTAATATCTCAGTAGTCATCCAGGGTTCAGTTCTTCGTTTAATCCTAACCTCTTTAACTGGTACAATATTATCAAGGATGGTAGTGAACATTGTTTTGAATTTTTCCCAGGCATCATTTACGTCCGTGCAATTTGTTATCACTGTCCAGTCACAATTGTGTAGCCTATTTACCAGTGTTTCTTTACTGTAGTTTCTAGTTGACCTCATTTTTATTGTCCTGTTTAGGCCTATCCTATCCCTAGTGATTTTCCTAGTGCAGTAAATGATGAAATGATCACTAAGGCCTGTGGTAATGACGCCTGACTGACTAATGTTCTCTGTTATCTGTTATTCCCACGTACTCCTTGTTATCGGCATGTACTGCTGCTTGCAGATCGCAGTCTGCCCTACATCACAATCAACAGGGGAGGCAGAATAGGTAACGAGATCTGTCAGTACATGTCCTTGGCTGTACTCAGGAAGATGTTTGGTGTTAGGGTGAGTAAACACATCACTACTGTTGTCTGTATCTCTGGGATGTCTTGCAGTACTGGCAGTATTATTATGGATTTTTTTTTTAAATTCAGTGTTTTTGTACCAAAAAGTAAATTAAGCCAATTTCATTGATTGCTAATGGATTTCTTTTGATGCAGGGCAACTATTTAAAATTAACTTAAAAAGATTCTAAGAGTATTGTTACTTTTTGTTCTGGAACTCTGATGGAACAATGATTGACAAGACTGAATTACAGACCGCTTAGTGGTTTTCCAAAGATTAGTCTCAGTTGCTGGCCTGGTTTGGTGTGCAAAGGATGTATTTCGTTTCTTTTTAACTGTGATAATTCCATCAGTGTGTATTTTCTGCACCTGTGCTTGCTGCTAAATGTGCCTTTGTTTTTTCCTTGCAGTTTAATGGTTAGAAAGTCAGTAAAAATACAGACTAGAGTCTTCGCAAAGTGGAACAGATAAGTATTTTAATGATTAATAGAACATTGAAACAGAAAGAAATAGCAATAAAATTTGTTGTTTCAACACAGTAAAATTAAAAAGAAACTGATTTTAAGTCAAAAAGGGTGAGAAGATGTGGTAGAAAGTGGAGAACAACAACGCGATTATACAGAAAAATAATACGAATGGCTCTTAACAACAGAAGAGTATCTTGCAGGCAGATTTCCTCTGACGAAGCAGCAACAAGTGTTAGCCTCGCCCGAAGGACAGTTAATGAGAAACTTTTGGAGAATGGATTGAAAGTATATCGTCCCAGACAGAAGCCGCGATTTACTGAACCTATGATACGGAAACGTTTAGCCTGGGCTAAGAATCACATTGAGTGGACTTCGGAACAATGGTAGTAGATAAGAATTATATTTAGCTTTTCATTTCATTTGTTGATCATAAAAGAACATTAATTATTAGTAAAGTGACGATTCTATTTGAAAAAAAAAAAGATTATTATTAAGCTTATCTGGTTGTTCCACTTCTGTTGTCTTTCTGTTGTTGTAGGTGGTGTTGCAGGTGGTGTAGGTGTTGCAGGTGTTGTAGGTGGTGTTGCAGGTGGTGTAGGTGTTGCAGGTGTTGTAGGTGGTAGTTGTCAGGTGGTGTTTTGCAGGTGGTGTACAGGTGGTGATTTAAGGTGTTTGTAGGTTGGTGTTGCAGGTTGGTGGTGTCAGGTGTGTGTTGTCTGACGATATCAACCATTGCAGTGATGGAGTAAGAAGACTGGTCAGGGTGAGGAA